ATACTCTGCATGGTTTTAAAAAAACAAAATAAAAACCCTCTTAGGTTCAAAGGACTCAAGCACAATAAAACCAGCTCCAGGAAAATATTCAGATTAATGAAAATCAATATGTAATTCCTTACTTTGCTACACAAAAAACAACCCTTAATATTTGAACATATTTTGGAAAACATCAGTATTTAATTAAAGTCATGGAAAAAGCCCTTCATGTCCATAGATGTCTGTCTTCATTAAGAAGATGGTTCTGAGTAATGCTGCTAATTATGTAAATTAAATACATTTTTTTGAACTAGTTTTACATATAGAAAATATGGTAATTCTAATTTCCAAGTAAGTAAACACCTCAGAGTATACAGTATTTAATTTTCTGAGTTACTCATGTGTAAGATCTGGCCTTGCACTTCATACCTAGCCCATCCACTTTTTGGATCATTTGTGAATGATCCAAACCTGGTGGTGGTTTGGTGTCATATGGGAAATATTTAACTGGTCCTCCATGCCCCTGTCAAGTTGCCATTGGGATTTTCTGTCAGTTTCTTGGCAAAAAATCAAAGAGCGAAACAGTGGGCCCAAAAAAACATGTTATGGTGATCCTGTGTGGATAGGGCAGCCTTGAAGCTCTGCGTTTTCCGCTATCCCTGGGCTACAGGAAGAGAATTTCTATCTTTATCACTGCCCATCTGGCACCTTTCACAGGCAGCAAGAACAAAGAAGTAAAACGTACTGGCCCCTACCATCTGCTTCTGCTTGTGAAGCCTGGAGAGAGCCCGATAGGGAAGAAAGCAAAGAAAGATAAAACCCAACCCCTTCGTTTCCCACCAAACTGTTCTGGCAGGTACACGTTGTGCCTGGATTGTACATCTCTTGGGGCCACCCCAGAGACCTCTGGTTCCCCACAGCAGCCCAGCTGCTGAGCACAGAGCATCCCAAACCCTCCCAGCCTCCTGCCAGCCCCGAGAGAAAGGCTCTGCTGGCTGAGAGTTCCTTTATTGGATCAGCCGCTGCTTTATCTAGCATAGGAAAATTCCTGTGGGTTTAATAAGAGGTATTGCCCTACAGATTTTCTCTGGTCCCACCTCCTTTCCCATCAGCCACATCCCCTGTTACTGCAAGGCTGCATACACCATGTGTTGGCTGGACCCCTTCTGTCTCTGACAGAAGTTTGGCCAAAAAGAGCAGATTTTCTGCTACTTTGATCATTTCCTGTGGTAAAAAGTGAAGGGAATTATCTGACCCAGGGTCTTTTTTTTTTTTTTTTTTCTTTCTTAGTTTTGAAAAATAACATGGCTTTACATTTGCAAGTTCCCTTAAATAGTGTACTTGCTTTCCAATAGCATTCTGCTGCTGGTTTACTGGTTGCCTTACAGAACTTACTTTTTTTAGAATCAGAAAACACATTGCTCTGATCTCAAACTCAAACTCAGCTGCTGTATTATTACATCAGTAATGACCTTCCCCCTGCTGAAGGAGCAACCACAAGATAGTATCAAATTTACAGACAATACAAAGGTGGCAGCTTCTTCCCAGTTAAAAAATTATTACATTTAAAAAACAAGCTTACTTCTCTTGTGGTGGGGATAGCGTTGTTTTTGGCTACAGATGTGCATTGCATAATGTCTTTAGAAATAAGTTAACCATTTTATTTAATGCACTATTAAGAATGCATTTAACTATGACATATGTGATAGAAGCACCCTAAAACTTTTTTTTTTCCTTCAAGGCTCCACATCAGAAAATCTCCTGCTTGTGTAAGCCCATGATGCAATAGTCACAGTACCTGCTAATTTAAATGGTGAGGAAGATTTGGGAACAGGACCCTAACTATGGTGCCAAGTGAGAATCACTGACCTCAATGGGCCCTGCAAGTGCACCCTGAAAACTCATCCATTTTGTATTTCTTCTGACCCAGAGTGTACAAAGTAAGCAAACAGCACGAATCTACCTACTGAATTACTGTCTTGTGTCAGAACTGATATTCTATAGGAATAAATGCCAAACAAATTATCACCATATACATTATCTTTATAGAATGTGGCACTATAGCCACATACATTTAAAATAGATTCATATATTCACACTTAGTAGTGGGACCCCACTTTTTTCATCTCAGAAAAATGCCACAATGTGCAAGTTGTGCTTGTTGGCATCAAAACTCTGGAAATTTTTTCAACTTTGCTGTGCTAATTACATGAGTAGCCAGATTTTGATAGATACACATTTTGATGATGTGTTAAGCTGAGACCAGGGTGCAGCGTGTGCCTCCCTTTTTGCAAGCTGTACTCTCAAAAGAAATGACAATGTTTTGACCTGTTAAAATTACTGTTGTTTTAAAACGTCACAGGAAGTTACTTTGGTGAATTTACTATTTGTGTATATTTATTTTTTTTATCAGCCTGTTAAAAAATCATGGCCTGGCTACATTTCCCACTTTATTTATAAAACTGAATCTTTCCTGAACTCAGACAGCTCAAAAGCAAAGGGACATCTAAGGCAGTCTGGTTCCTTTCAGTATTAAAAAAAGAAGATACGTACTTATTTTTATATGTATGCATGTACCTCACTTAAAAATATAATAAGAAGGGGGAGAAAGAATCTACAGTAACCTTGTTAAAACAAAAATTGCACTAAACCACTTCAAACAAGATCTTACCACAACAAAAATCAGCGTTATCATCGTTAATAACACAGTGCATTTCATATGCAGAGGTAATAAGGAGGCTGTACTGTGATCCATATAATCTCAATAATGTATAAATGAATCAAAAAGGATCTAATTAGTTCAGCAGCACCAAAAACTACTAAGTAGAAACATCAAAAGAGCCAGCGGGACATTAATTTTTTTTTCAGGATTGTCTGTTTTGTGTCTGGCAGGAGGAGGCCCCACCATGGAGGTGACAGCACCTGGAGCTCAAGGATGCTGCTGTGGTGAGCCCTGCAGCTCCCAGCCCATCCCTGCACGTCCCGCACGGATCCTGCCCCACCGGGATCCGCACGGGAAGGGTGGGGCGGGCTCCTCACCTCCTGTCTGCAGATAGCACATCCTGAACCAACACTGCCCCTTTTCCTCCTTCCACACAGCCCCGGCGGAAAGGAGAACAGCCACCGGCGAGGCGCCTCGGCTCCCACGGACACACGCGAGCGAGGGAGACCAAGGAGAGCTGGGCAGAGACTGCACCCAGCACGGAGCCATGGGACCTCCCTGAGCAGAGACTGCACCCAGCACGGAGCCATGGGACCTCCCTGAGCAGAGACTGCACCCAGCACAGAGAGACTGCACCCAGCACGGAGCCATGGGACCTCCCTGAGCAGAGACTGCACCCAGCACGGAGCCATGGGACCTCCCTGAGCAGAGACTGCACCCAGCACAGAGAGACTGCACCCAGCATGGAGCCATGGAAAGCTGAGCAGAGACTGCACCCAGCACAGAGAGACTGCACCCAGCATGGAGCCATGGGACCTCCCTGAGCAGGGACTGCACCCAGCACGGAGCCATGGGACCTCCCTGGAGATGGCCTTGGCCTCCTGCGAGTCCATCCCGACTCCTGCCCTACTGATGGGAAAAGGTTTGTGTGTGCAGACCTGAGAACCCCTTAGCAAATACCTGTGGAGGCATCCCAGTCAAAGGTAGAACACTGTGTGCATAGATGTACTTATTTTAATAAATAATTAGAATAATAAGAATAATAAATACTTAGAACCTGTGTTCTATGTGGTGAAGTGTGGAAGTGGGAGGACTTCTGTACTTCACCACGTAGCTGTGGGCAGCTGTGCCTCTGCAGCACTCACTGCACGGCAAGAACATCACACCCTGCAGGAGTGCAGCCTGGGCTGATTATGGCAAAGAATTGTTCACACAATTCACTGAAGTCAGAAAAGTTCCATTTAAATATAAACAGAACCTAACCCACAGGTCCACTGTACTTAAGGAATTATTTCTCTCTAACCCTGAAGATATGGATGTAGCTTGTATCTCCTCCAACAGATGTGTCTGTCCACTACCCAGTAATGGTTCACTCCACTTAAGTAAAAGCATCATATGCAAGAGAAACAATAATGCTATAAAACAAAGACCTTTCACTACTCCAGGTCCATTCCACACCCAAAGCCCAAAGGTTTCCTTCTTCAAAGGAATAAACAGGACAGTATTTGTTGAGGTTTAAGCCACAGTAACATTCTAAGGAGCCAACAGCTTTCAACATGGTTTGATCTGCAGACCTATTAAAAAACCCAATTACGCAATGGAGCAGGACAGAGAAACAAAACCTCCTTTCCAGAAGATTTGCTCTTCTATTTAATGCAACAGATCTCACAGGGCCAGGCTGACAACATTCATCACTGCAGCTCTGGGAACTACTGCAGCATGCATGAAGCTCCACTCACACCTCCCAAGGAATTCAACTGGAGGTCGGCTGCACCTCAAAAGTCAGCCATGGTCTGCTGTAATCTACAACATCAAACTCAAACTCCTGTGACAGAAATCTCTACTGAGGAGCTCCAACACAAACCTCTGAAGAATTCAAGTCCACTCCAGCAAACCTTCACAATCCCAAGAAGACATATGGCACACGCCAGGCTAACCAGCAAAGTTTTCTAAGAAATCATACTGAAACTCATAGATTTAACACACAGATGGCCCACAACACCTGCAAGAATTAAAATTCAAAACCTTCTCAAGAGGTAACACCAAATGCTGCTAAAGACAAACAAAGCCAGGCTGTGCCCTGCTGCAGCAATCACCAGTGCTCTGCACAGCAATCCCAGTGTGTGCAGCACTGCCCAGCTGCCCACAGACACAACTGGAGCAGCTCTGTGTGCTAGGGCTAGTACTGGGATAGGAACAGTATTTATGAAAATAAAAGAACTGAATTGAAGCCTCTATGCTGCTGTCTAGAACTTACAGTTACGTTTGTACCACCCATTCCCTGGGGGAAATGACATACAATACAAACAGGCCTAGTTGTTCAATTATTCAAGTATTAAAAGATTCACAGAAAAGCATCTGAGAAACATAACATTTTAATAGATGAAATAAATACTCCAGTACATGCAAGATAAAAACTGACATTGGAAAAAAATTAAAAATCACTTTTGTTATAGTGTAATTTTGTTTGTTTGTTTAAACACTCACAGTAGCTTTTCCCCCAGTTTGGAAATCAACACATGGAAAACATAATCACAACCTCCAGTCCTTCCACTCCTACACACCAAATGCACTTCTAACCTAACACTTGATGCAAAATAAAAAAAGTCATACAAAACAAAAACAAACAAAATAGTAGCTACATCCATCATCTATGTGTTGTTGGGTTTTTTCATTTTTTAAATGAGTTAGAACTGAGGTAACCTTTTTCCTGCACAACCGAACAGCAAAATTTAGAAGGGAAATTTCGGAAGACAAGACAAGACAAACTTTAAAAACCGCACCCAGCGCGATTAAAGCTCTTTTTTTCTCCTTTTTCTAAGATACCCCCACCTCCCCAAATATAAAAAACTTTGAAACAGTTTTACCACTTGTGTGAAGACCTTGTTGAATAAAGGAAAATTTATCTGGAGATACTTGCTTAACTTTAAAGTAAAATAAAAAGAAGCCAAAACTGGCTACCTTTATTAGTACATATAGTTTGAATACGTTCTGCTTCTTCACCACATGAAATCAAAGGATTGGGCTCATCCAAGCAAATTCTTTGGTATACAAAAAAGGGGTGAGGAGGTGGGATATTATTTTCCTTTAGCAATGACTGGGATCTAAACAGAAGATGTGGGGGTTAATTCACAGAATTGGAGTTCACTGGCGGTAAAGTCCTGGGTGAAGATCTTTCTCTTAGTGCCTGAGATAGCAGGTTGCAGCCATCCGAGACGGCGCAAGCTGAGTTCCTCAACCGTTCCCTGTAATCGCTCATTTTGGTGCTACTTTCGGGGTGTTGGGCGATATCCCTGAGGCATTGGGTCAGGAGCACACAAGCAGATACCACGCTCATGGCTCCTCCTAGGATGGCAGTTTGCACAGCTTTGCCCTCTGGATTAATGGTGGCAGCTTTACCCAAAAACTGGGGCTCAGTGGCAAAGCCCACCAGAGCATAGACGGACTGCACCAAAGGTCCACTGAACAAGACGCACCGGTTCCTGGTCAGCTCGCTGGGCGAGGTCTTGACCTCCTTGACACAGGCCAAGAGGGCAGAGGCGCTGGTGCTCATACATTTGACACTGAGTTTGAACTGCTCCTTAGCAAATTTATCCTTGGATTTCTCACTGGCCAGCACGCAGGCGTCTGTCAGGAATTTCAAGTTCTTGGACATGTTCTGAGAAACCTCCAGCAGGAGCTGAGGGCTCATATCTGCCAAAGGGGTGGTCTTCAAGACCCCGCAGCCGTGCTCCACCTCATGCCTACATCGGGTCACCTTGTAGCGATCCACCAAGCCAGGCATGGCCGGCTGGGCCCCCGGAGTCTCCACTGCAGCCAGGTAGGCAGCGTGGGCAGAGCACTCGGTCAGGGAGACCACCAGCTCCCCCATCTCCATCAGGCTTTCTCCCACCTCCCCGAAGCGTCCCATGTTGAGCTGGCTCTGGACGTCATGGGTCAAGATGGAGAGTCCTTTGGTCCTGGCAATGATCGTGTCCCTGCACTTCTCAAAGGACTCACCGAAGACAGACAGGCTCTCGGTGTTCACCGGCCTGGTCTCGCTCGACAGCAGAAGCAGATCGGCCACCAGTTGCATCTTGATCTTGCAGTGGTCGCAGATAGAGATGAGCTTCTTCCTCTGCAGGGAGCTGCTGCTGGGGATGCCGCCGCCGGAGACCTCGCTGCTGGACTTGCCGGAGCCACCGCTAGCCATAGCGCCGGGGGGGCACTCGCATGCCGCTCGCTACCCCGCTGCTGCCGCCTCCGCCGCCGCCCGAGCAGTCCCGACTGAGCCCGGCAGGATCGCTCTGCCTTTTCCGCAACATCATTCCATTAATCGCCGGGAGGCACGAAAAGGCTCTGGGCGCCGGGGCTGCCGCCGCTCGGGGAGCGAGCTCGGCCGGGGCGCCCGCCCCGCTCCGGCGCCAGCCTCCGCTCCTACGGCGCTCCCGCGGCGGGGCGGCGCTCGCCGGGCGCCCCCGGGCCCCGGTCTGGCATCCTTTAGCTACAAATACGGAATTTTTTTTTCTCCTTTCCTTCTCGCACGCTGGCTCGCCTTCCTTCCACCGTCTCGTCCGGCTCGCCGGCTGCGGGATCCTGCGCGAAGTTCCCTTTAGCGGACGCGGTACCTCAGGGACGCTCCTCCGCCGCGCGGAGTTGGGGCAGGGGCGCAGCCCTCCAAGTTGCTACCGCGCCCCCGGCGCCTCCGCTCGGGGAGCGCCCGCCGGGCACAGCTCGCAGGGGCCGGAGGGGCGGCGGCTGCGCACCATGTGCCGCCCCCGGCGCCCGCCGCGGCCCCGGCTCGCAGGAAGCGCCGCGGAGGGTGTGGCCCGCCCGCCCCGCACGGCCCCGCCGCGCACCCGCGGGGAGCCGGCCCGGGAGGGGAGAGGGGCACGGCGGGGAGCCGGGACGCGGGGGAGCGCGGGGGGAAGGAAAAAAAAAATAAAGAAGAAAGAGAGGAGGGGGTAAAAAAAAAAAAGCTCCACCGGATCCGGGTGCTGGGGCGGGCGGGCGGATCCGTTCCCCTTCCTTTGCCGCTGCCTCACTCCTTCCTGCCGCGATCATTCACGCGGCCGCTGCGCGCTCGCTCCCCGCCGCCGCCGTCCATCCCTTGCGCCCCGGGCCCTCCTCGCCGGCTCCCGCGGTGGCGCCGCCGCACCAACTTAGGCTCTTCCCGCAAACAAGGGTGGTGGCCGCGGGCTGCAGCCGCGGATGCTGCGACCCGCCCGGCCTTGCGCTCCTCCTGCCATCTTCCCTGGCTGAGCGGCCAACTCCCAGGGAGAAAAAAAAAAAAAAGAAAAAGGAAAAAAAAAAGAAAAAAAAAAAGAGGGGTAGGAAATCTTCGTTTAAATTCCCTTTCTCAGGCTTTCAGACAAACTACTGGGAAGCGGCGGCTGCGACGGCGCTGCCAGCCAGACGCTGCACGGCTCCGGGGGAGCTCCCCCGCCCCGCTGCCTTTGCTGTAACCTCACTTGAGCCTATCGAAATCTTTTGTGCGGTGTCACCGCCCTTCGTTTAAATCCTGCCCTCCCCCCGCCGCCGCTCCGCGCCTGCCGCCGCTCGCTCCTCCCAGGCGGAGGGGGCAGCAGCGCCGGCACCGCCCGCCCGTCCCCGCCGCTGCCCCGGCCCCGTCCCCGTCCCCGCCGCGCGGGGCTCCGGAGGGGCTCCGCCAGTGCTCACACAGCGGCGGTGCCCGAGGGAGAGGCCGCTGGGAGGAAGGCGAGAGGCAGCCGGACAGCGCGGCCCGGGGCGCACGGAGCAGTCGGATACCGGAGAGCGAGGAGCCGGCCCGGCCCGGCCCGGGTGCCGCTCCCTGCCCCGGGCAGCCCGCCAGGTGAGTGCGGCGTTCCGCTCGGAGCTCCCGGGCCGCGGGCGCTGTCCCGGGCCGGGGGGCAGAGCCCGTTCCTGTGACAGAGCCCCGGGCAGCGCGGCTCGGAGCGCGGGCCCGCCTCGCTCATCCCGCGGGCTCCGGTACCCGGCCCGCCCTGGCCGTGCTGAAACGGGAGCGCTGGAAACGCGGGATGGGGAACTGCCGCAGCTTTCTTTACACTCAAATACTGCTCTCAGCACAGGCCTTGACCCAGGTTTTAAACCAATGAAGACGATTTTGGTCTGTTGCTTTCCCGTTTCTGTCGCTGTTTTTGAACACTGGTTACTGTTTATTAGACTTCAGCAGGGAAAATGTAAACCTACTGACACTGCTGTGTACTGAAAGCTCTACAAAGACTTCCTCTGATCTGTTTCCATTCTGCAGCACACCGAGAACTTTTTGAGATGATTCTTGTCAAAAGCAAGATGTTAGGCTCAGTAAACCTGAGGCACACATCACATTCTGTCCTGTTACACAGTATCTGCATCAATATAATTCTGATTAATCAAAACCCATGGTGAAGCCACATCCTATATTTGTTATGTATTTTGCTGTAGCTTAAGCTGCAGCTAAATAATAACATTATTTTGCACCTTTAAATCAGAATTCTCTTTTTAAGTCAGCTGCCTAATTCTAGACATTTACAATTCATTTAGCATTGGTTACAGATGTTACAGAGCTCCAGAAGTACATTTGTCCCAATTCACAGTTAACATCCTACATTCCTACTGCTGCAGGGGTATAAGTGACCTTGAAATAAATGGAAATTGAACCAGATTCCTCACTTGCAGTTGCAGGTCAGCTCCAGCAATATCCTGGCACAAACAGAGCCCACCAAATGGATTCCATACATTTAAAGAGCTTCAGACAAGTTTATGTGCACATAAACTTGGCCATTAGCTAGAAGAACCTTTGGCCTTCTCATTGTAGAGCAGGATGAACAGAGATGTGAAAGTGGGGGATTAACAGGGTGTACATATTTGGGGGGCAAAGGAAGCCCTTGCCATAAAGTCAGGCTTGAGGAAAGGGGTAGATTCTGGTCTATGGGTGTGTCAAAAATAGGGCAGTTCTCCACCCATCCCTCCTCACAAAAACAGTGTGAGGGAAATTCTGTTTACTTGAGTCAGATTATAGCAGTTTCAAGGAAGGTCATGATTTGGGCCTAAACAATTTTGGCTTACTGCCAGCGACTTGTTTTCAAAAGTATAAATAGGAATGATTTCAGAGTACTCTGAAAAATAAAAATCAATGGGCAGAAGAAGCCAGCTGAACTATATTTCAAAGTATTTCCAGATACATCCTTAAATGAGGTTAGATAGTATGCAGCACAAGGAATGTCTCTCATAAATATTAACCTAGTTTATCTTTAATGAGGATTGACTACATTTAATTAGGGTTTGAAAGATTTCATTTTAGAAAACGTAGGTCTCATCCCTGGCTAGAAGAGGTGTTACATGACCTAATAATCTTTTCCATTTTTAGATGCTGCTGCCTGCCATGATACTCTGTGTGATTTGTGCCATTCCCCAAGGACAAAGGAGAGAGGTCCTTGGTTTGGACAGGTCCTGCAGTTGCCTCCTGCACCAGTCTCCCTCCACAGAAACCCAGCTGGGCCTTAACCAAGGCAGACCAAAGCTCTTAGGAACTGCTACAGTATAAAGCAAATTTTTTTCTAGCTCTGATAACCCATCCACCAGGCTGATCCAGTCTTTATCTGCCCTGTTATTAGCCAGGGGGAAGACTGGTAATTTTTTTCCTGTAGTAGGTGTTGCATGTGGATAGTGTCCAAGCAGGTCTTGCCAAATGCCATTGTCCTCCCATAGTAGCCCTGGGTGTTTAGTATTTCTGCATATTAAATGTTTGGGGAAGAGTGACTTGGCTTTTGCTTTTTGAAAAAATAATGTCCAAAATACTACCTTCATTAGTCATTTTTACCATGCAAGTGGCTTTTCCTGGAGCAGGTCCCTGTGAGATCCATCCTACAGACTGTAGGGTTGCTGCCTAGGTACTCCTGGCCTAGCTGGAGTCCCTCTTAGTCTGTGTTTCCCATGAACGTGCTATTTCATTCTAAAAGGCAGCCTTGGAGGTGGATTCTCCTGGGCTGGTACCTGAGCAAGGTATGTGCTTTAAAGTGCCAGTACATGCATCTCTGTGATTGATGAGGAGACGTGTACCCAGTGATGTTTGGGTGGGTATTTCCTTCAAAAGTCTTCTGCACATCTCTTTCAAGGAGGATGTGTTCATACCCATTTATTTCAGTGCAAAGGTGATGCAAAGGGCCTGGGCAGCTCACTGAATTGGTGTAAAAACTTGGACAATGTGAAAATCAGGTGGCCATGTTTGGCTTTGAAAAGACTTCACTGACAGAGTCTGAATGAATTAACTCTCTGGGGTTCAAACCAGCAGGCATTGTCAGATACAAGGGATTAAAAGGCTTTTTAATGTGGCTTAGTAGTGTACAGAAGATTGGCTTACTTGTATGAGCTCTTCTTTTGTCACATTGATCTTTATTTTGCATTGTGCTTAGTACAACAGAATCTGGAGGCTGAAGTCTTCTTTCCTGAATCGTCTGAAAAGACTTGGCCCTTTTATTGCTTAGTAAAATATTTTATTGTGAAGGAGGAATTGATTTTTGCCAGTGTTGAGTAATAGCTGAAGAATACCAAGTTGTAATAATTTCATGAGCGCTGTATGTGGCCAGGTGGGTGAGAGGAAGTTACTATATGGTGGGTTGTACTTCTTTATATTACTTTCCTGTATAGATGTATTGATCCAACCTAATAGGGAGCTAGCTGATGAAGGAATAAAAGGCAATTCAGTGGTTCCCCTGTGTCAGCTGTATGTGACTAAACCCATGAGGTGGTAATTACAGGAATGATAGCTCCAGTTCTGAGGGATGCAGCTGGTTTGTCAGGCTGTAAACTGAAAATCAGAGGAGGATAAAGTTGGCAGGGACTGATGGAAGAAATACTTCCAATGCCAAGGCAGAGTTTGCAGAAGAGGGTGGATGAAGATGGGCCTTCCTCTGTGCAGCAGTGGAAGTCACACAGAAGGAAAGGCAAGTTTCCAAAAACGACCAGCTTATTGTTCTTGAGATCTATTTTGTCTTAAATGCTTTGGTGCTGAGTAAGTGCTTTGTGGTCAGTGCTTACAGCCATTACTTCATGAGAGATTAAGCTGTGAGGTCTGGGTCTGTCTGGGGTCTGCAGAGGTGGCCATGGTCGATGCACTGGGATGCAACCTGAGAACTGATCTGCCTGTAGCCAAAAACACAGATCTGGAGGAACAGTTAACTAGGCACTTGAGACAGCAAAGTGCAAACACAGTCACAAGTTTTGTTTCTTTTGTCTATGAATAAATAGGTTTTAGGATAGTGGGTGGGCTTTCACATACAGGTTTAATTAATCTGGTGTTCTGATGTGGTGGTTTGTGTTTGTTCTTTTTTTAATATGGCATATTCAAAACCACAGTATCAAAGGTAAGAACAAATTTATTATGTAAACAACATTAATGTAAACATC